AAGAATGATTTCATTCAAACATGGAAATCTCAAAAACTAATGGATGGAAATGAATAATTGTTTTTGCATAATGTGTAGAATTTAATCAGCTACGAAGTCAAACATAAATACATGTAATGGGTATATATCCTGTCTTGAAAAAATGCGCGATTTGTAAAGAAAAAAATACGGGATAGACAAAATTGAGTAGATTTTTTAATTTTGTCGTTATAACTTGATAAGGTAAGCAAATCTTTCTATCAAGTATGGTCATTATGGTGTAGATACAACTTGTGAACATTTTTATTCTTCCAATTAGGATGTCAAAGGTCAGGACTGAGACCACGGTGGCAGAAAGGGCGCGCATCATTGACGCATGGGAAGGAGACGAAAATGGGTCAAAAACTTTAAAAGAAATATCAGAAATTTTAAAAATCAAGTACACAACTGTTTGGAAGATCATTGACCGCTATAAAAAGTCAAACAGCATTGCCAACAAGGCAGGTAGGGGAAGAAAGCAGACTTTCACGGACCGAGAGAAACGTTCAATCGTGAAGTTTGTGAAAATAAATCCGAGATCCAGCGCCGTGGATATTTCGAATGCTACTGAAACTGCCACAGGAAAGAAGACCAGTCCTAAGACTATCAGAAGAATCCTAAATTCGAATGGATACAAAAATTTTCGAGCGAAGAGAAAGCCCTTCATTTCCAAGACGAACATGAAGAAACGACTGAAGTTTGCCCAGGAGCATCTCAACAAGGACCAAGCTTTCTGGGACAAAGTTTTATGGTCCGACGAAAGCAAATTCAACATTTTTGGGTCGGATGGTCGGATCAAAGTGTGGAGGAAGAAAAAGGAAGCTCTGAAAATGAAGAATTTGAACCCCACTGTCAAGCATGGTGGAGGAAGCGCCATGGTGTGGGGTTGTTTCAGCTCTTCAGGTCCTGGAAAAATGGAATTTGTCGAAACGACCATGAATCAACATGTTTACCAGGGCATAATCGACAGGAATGTCAAAAGTTCGGCAGCAAAACTGAAACTTGGCAGGCGTTTTATCTTCCAACAAGATAAGGATCCCAAGCACACCGCTAAGTCGACTTGGGCGTTTTTCAAGACCCAGAAGATAACGGTGCTGGACTGGCCACCACAAAGTCCCGATTTGAATCCAATTGAGCACCTCTGGGATCACATTGAGCGGGAAATTGGAAAAACGCCTATTTCGAACAAAAACGAGGTAAAAAGGCGGCTTTCCGAAGCATGGGAAACTACTCCACCGGAAGTAACAACAACGCTCGTCAACTCGATGAGAAGCCGCTGCATTGCCGTGATTGAAGCTAAAGGAGGTCCAACTAGATATTAATCGCAAAAAAATTCAAATTGATATCTTTCTTTAGAAAATAATAGGAAAAGTCTGAAAAATTTACTCAATTTTGACCCTTCCATATTTTTTTCTTCACGATTCGGGCATATTTTCAAAAAAGCGGTTATACTCAGTACCTTAATTGATCTTTGGTTTTATAGTTACTTAAATCCTACACATTATGCAAAAGAAATTATTCATTTCCATACTATAGTTTTTGAGATTTCCATGTTTGAATGAAATCATTCTTCCAATTTACTCAATATTGTCCCCTAGTGTATATCTGGTCCAAAATGTTTCATAAAAACTAGCTGTCGCACCATAATGTCGAGTTCTTCCCATCTCCCGGATATCCCTGATTCCGTTAATCTTGCAATACACGTGGATATTGTGGGCGAAATATAGTTGAAGTCGCCAAATATCCCATCGTAAAATTGGAAGGGTAGGCTATCGTGCAAGCTGTCGAGGACTAACCGCTTCCCCATTGCTTTTAAACACGGGGTAAATAGCATCAAGTCCTCTTCCCGCTCTATAATTGCAAACGTGTCATGTGTCGGAATTTCCATCTCTTTAGTTGCGATGATTTTCGAGTTGGAAATATTAGCCATAGCTTCGCGAAAATCATAGGTTATTTGCGAAACGAAGATACACCTGTGCACAAAGGTTGACAGAAAGGTGGCGTATTTTTCACCACCTGGTGACGAATCTTATCTAATAGATTCAAGAAGCGGTGATAGGAGATATTTTAGGAGAGATTCATGCTCGGATGAAAAGTGAACGGTGCTGGTCGTAATTATTGTGAGATTAGATTTCGCTAATTCTTGGAAAGTTCGGGCGACCACGGGAAAGAGTGTAACCGTCAAATCGGACGTGATTGATCCCTGGTATAAATTTTGCATGAGAACGTTGCACCCCAAAAACCACACGAACAGCATCGGAACGGCTTTTCTCTGTTTTTGCAACGAGTTAACAACCTCACTGCCATTCTGACTAATCAAAATTGACGTAAATGTTATCAAATCACGGAGGAATTGGACACTATATTCTGCCTTGTTTTTAGGGAGATTGCGCATATCCCGGTTAAATTGAATTACAATAGTTATTACAATGCAAAAAGTTAAAACTAATGTCCACGTCCAGATGTCAAATGGGGTGAAAATGTTCCCAAAACTACTTTCTGCTTTTGGAAATTGCGTAACGATTGAAAATCTAAACTTTCTAATGGACAAAGTGAATAATTTTTCCTCTTGGTTATGAAACTCTGTTATTCCATCACTGCCTAAAATTCGACCCAATCCGATGTACGTGCTAATCAAGTCGCCCGAATGTTTGAAACGTTTGTAGCGCACCGTGGTGAAATTGAGGCGGATTCCGATCATGTAGCTCAGACAGTAATTTAAAGCCTCCCAAGGGTAGAATGTACTCGAGCTCGGGCCGCAAGAAGTTTTTTCGTCAAATTCGACAAGATCGCCCTTGTATTCGGTAAGGAGTGTACTTCTCTGCATGTTGATCTCGTTTTGTTCGTGCCATATCGAGTTAATCATGTCGAACGAGAAAATCTGCTTATGGAGAAATGTTCCACGTGGAGCGTTGCGACAGGGAAAGCACGGAACGAGGATGCCACCTTTGCTGAAAAATATTATCTTGGACGACCCGGTTAGACGTGCAAGGTCATTTTCGTACTGCACTGAGGAGTGAGACTGAAAGAGAAATACGTATTTCGCCTCGAAACCGGTAAAATTCAAGAAGAATGAGAATGATTTTTCTGAAATGAACAATATTATTGGACGAGTGGATCGTTCAATATTGGTTTCATTTAGCATGAAGGAATTGTTATACACTGGAAGATCAAAATTCTCTAAGATTTTGACACTGTGATGGTACGAGAGTGGTAAGGAATTTTGTATAATTCGATGTTCCCAAATATCCTCCTCCCCTCTGTCCAGTATCAAGTGAAGGTCAAACTTGGCTAAAGTACACCTAATTCCTAGAACCAATAAGAGAATAAGTGATATCGAGAAGAGATACATTACATTCTTTAAATAAGGAAACTACATATGTAGATAAGTACAGTTTTTGCAATGCACGATTTTTTTGTGTCGTTCTGATTGAACACTTGAGTTGAATGTGGCTAAAATAAATGTCGGTGGATGAAGTGGTAAAGGCTAAAGTATGTAGAATTGATTAGTTTTGCTTAAGTGTTGGTTTCGTGGTACCTGTGTTTTCTTGGCTTTCTTGGTTTTAAACACGATTTCAATCACTTCAACATGTATTTTTCTGTTACGTAGCGAAATTTATGCACACTCTTAGGAAACTGGTATTAAATTAATCGTGGTCGGAGAACAGATGTACATAATATATTTTGCATGTAGTAATAATGAGCATTTTAATCAGAATTACATATACTACTATTAAACAAATTGGGTATAAAAACCAACCAGACTTCCAGAAGACGGACAGAACAAGTGTCTCTTCCTTCTTATAGCCATTGGCTTAACGCTACAGCATAACCATTGGATTTGAGAATCTTTACTATCCATTGTTAAATGTAAGACAAATTTTTATAAAAAATAAATACACAAAATTCCTACCAAATTTCCTCCATGCTCTTTTCTTCATTTATTTCTGCGTAACATCGGCCTCACAATTTTTTCCTCAGCATCAGGTCGGAAACGTTAGGCCTCAGCGAGGTCGGCCTCACTAGTTTTCAAACTATAGGCCTCAGACCTTACTGGCCTCGACCTCAAAATCCTAAAAGAGGCCGAGGCCGCCCATCATTGGAAATAATGCGATGCAGCGACGTACAAAAATAGACATGTAAAAATTCCACCGCGTGTTCTTCCAACTTAAAAAGATTAAACATGCATATGTACTTCGCTAAAATACACATGCGAGCAAAGTCAAATCAAATAGACCTGGCAGGTTATAAATGAATAATTACTCATAAGGTTTAAAATTTTAACATTTCTACTGAGTTGAACTTAAACTGTAAAATGTATTTCTTAACATATTTTTGTTAAAATTCAAAATTTCGCTGATGGAATAATTTATGTAAGGATGCTTTTGAAAATCAGATGTATTTGTATGCCTTTAACCTTCAACTTTCTTCCAAGCGATGCACATCATAGTGTTGCAGGCCACCTCATTTGCATCAAACTCACTATTCCTCTCCTTGGCGATAGGGGATTTCAATGCTGAATAAACTCCACATTTCTCGTCAAAATGTGTAAATGAGGCCAACCACGGCAATAATTCCACCACATATAGCATTGGTTTGACAAATGGTCTTTCCTAAAAATCATCCACTTATGATCAAGAGCAACACTTAAATTTTTAAAATTACTTCAAATTTAATGAATTACTTGAAAACTTGCATAATACATAAATGCATGCATACATATGTATTATGTATGTACCGAATGAGCAATATGTCAATTAACCTGTTCAAGCAACATAACCAAATAAAGACTGGAGCCAGCCTGTCAAAAAATACGCCATCCCACTTTGTAGAAAAGGACACGACCTCAAGAAACGCTTGTCTATCTAAACCCCTGCTTGGTGTGCGAAAAATACGAGGAAGATGCCTTGATTTTGCAAACCTGGCCTTATAATTGGGTCTGCTTGCGTCATATTTTAAATAAATGTACATATACGCCAATGTGCAGTATTTCACGTGAATTTATTCCAATTTAACATCATATTTATGAAATTGATGGGTTTTTGATATCTGGTAAAGTCTAACCGCCTCTGGGTCCGGTGTACCCTGTTGGGCAGAGAATGCCGAAAATAAGGCACGATGCCGGAACCACGCTGAGAGTTTGGTTGGTCGTGCTAGTGGGTATGTTGGTGAAGAAAATCTTTTCCTCCGGATTCATGGACATTGCTTGGATCTAAAAATATTTAAAATCTAGATTGAAATTAATATAATCATTAAGATACAAGTTTAAGAAATGTCTCAACTTACACCAGCAACGAGGAGAACAGCGATCAAGAAATATTTAGCAAACATTTTGTAAAATTGCGGAGTTTTTAGGCAGTGGAGAATTTCACTGGCTTGCAAAATGGTAAAAAGGAATTGATACTTGGAAATGGGAAACCCGCAGGCTTTTATATGGATCATCTCTACTAGAAATTGTTCATGATGACGTGTGCCCGGATATTTGCACGTCTGTATAATTGGTTGAATTATGCAAGTTAGGGGTGATCCATAAATTATGTCACGCTGAAGATGGGGGGGAGGGGGTCCAAGGATCCGTGACAAAGTGTGACATATGGGGAGGGGGGGTTCGGCCGATCTGTGACATAACGTTTTGGAGGCCTAACTTAATGCAAACTTTAACTCACATTTTAATTCTTCGACTACGACCAAACTACAGTTTCGCAATTATTTAGATATATACCCGAATATCAAACAGACCTTTGATCCAAAGCATCCAAAATTTCAACCAAGTTTCAGATTTTGAGATTTTAAACCAGGTTTCTACATTTTGTTCAAGCCTTCAAATAATTTGCACAATATCCAATTGTTTGCAAATAAAAAAATTCATGATGCCATAAAGTTTGCATAATTTCAAAAAATCGTCATAAGTTTGCAACAATTTAAAACATTACAAAATCTCCAACAATTTGCACAATTTAAAAAATTCCTCCGAACCCTATTTTTCATGGTTTCAACAACGTAAACTGATTGAAGACAACTTTCTGCATGATTCAAAAATGTTAACAATTAAAAAAATGTATAACAACATTTTCAGGCGTGACGTGACAAGAGGGGGGGAGGGGTCACGACTAGCGTGACAAAGGCGTGACAACAGGGGTGGGGGGGTCTTAAAAAAGGGCTTTCTTGCGTGACATAATTTATGGATCTCCCCTTACATAAACGTATGAAAGAAGTTATGTAATATGTAATGTATGAATATTATGTGCTTTATGCAAAAATTAAAAAAATGTGTAAAGCAAGTCAATTGAATTAAATTAAGGTGTTGTATCAATATTTGCTGCTTCTTGGCGTCACAATGAATTGCAAAATTGTGTAAACTTTGATTATCTGCTTCGGGTACAAATTAACCACGAATCGTGGGCGTCAATGATTGGATCCATTGTTAAAATGAGAACTGTTATGAGATTGTTTGACTTTGATCAATTTGTGCCTACATACGTGCTCCGAAAATGTGTGATGCTTCCAGGTAGCTGTGGATAGTTGCAAAAGTCAATAGGGAATGCAAATAACGAGGAAGAATACATTTGTATTAGTTAATATAGACAATGGAGACGCCAGCCATGCTCAACTTTTAGCTAGGTAATTTTAGCTCAGTTTGTAAGTCTAACTATGTAGAAGCAACATTTAGTGGTGAACTTGTGCAGATGTGAAAATTTTAGGAAGTTATGTGCGCCGCATTCTGAGGTACAGGTTCCACTTGAAGACTGAATGTTTCCGCGAAATTGCTGCGACCACAACTTGCTAAAATTTACGAATCTTCACAAGTTCAGTACTAAATGTTGTTTCTACAGAGTAGAGTAAAGAGTTGGGCTTACATACTGAGCTTAAATTATCTGGCTTGAACATGGTTTGCGTTCCCATTGTCAGAGAAATTTGCCTGACGTACTATTAGCAACCAACTCTTTGTGTGAATGGAGAGTACGCGGGGTGAAGCAAATTTGCGGCACCATGTAGCATCCAGAATGGACATCAAAAAACCAAATTGAAACCTCGACATATTGTAGAAAATATTAATTAAAAATTATTTTCCCAATAAAGTTTTTCGAAATCTTTCGTTCCTGACCTTTTATTAAGGGGTCAAACCCCCTCCGTCAGCATTATGATTTCTTGAGAACGGATGCCAATTTCGGTTCGGTCCGGCATGTGGTTTCCACCAAAAGCGCTCAGAATTCGCCCTGACGACGGTGGAAACCACATGTCGAAATTCGCATCCGTTCTCAACTAATCATAATGCGGACGGACGGGGTTTGACCCCTTAATAAAAGGTCAGAAACGAAAGATTTCGAAAAATTTTATAGAGAAAATATTTTTAAATAATATTGTCTAAAATATACCGAGGTTTCAATTTGGTTTTTCATGTCCCCTCTGGATGCTACATGGTGCCGCAAATTTGCTTAACCCCGCGTACTCGCCATTCACACAAAGAGTTGGTTGCTAATAGTACAATGCATAATTGTTTTTTTTATTTATTTTTAAATATTTCTTAATACTTTATCAACTCAATAATAATTAACTAGTATTTATTCCAAACCTACATGCACTCAAAATAAGGTAGTAATGAATCATTACCATGCGGAATGACTATGTGGCTCTACCACGTCGGTTATGACTTGTCGTAGAAATGGTAATAATAAGTTCAGGGAAATTCAAATTTAATACATAATGGTATTCACTTCCTTAATATTTGGTAATGAATTTGAATTTCCCTGAACTTATTATTACCATTTCTACGACAAATCGTAACCGACGTGGTAGAGCCACATAGTCATTCCGCATGGTAATGATTCATTACTACCTTATTTTGAGTGTGTATGTATAATTTCTTAATTGTCAATATATTTCTAAATATTTCCTAAATATTTCTTAATTGTCAATATCACTACATAAATATTTCTTTTTTGATTAGTGTCCCACCAGAGATACATGTTTTCCAGTGATTATAACACATTTCTTTCCACTTTACAACTACGCCCGTTACGAAATGTGCTGTACAATCCAGATTAGGTAATCAAAAAATAACAACCTAGGGGCTCCAATATGTAAAACCCAGTTAAAACACAATAAACCCAAATAAAATCCATGTTAACATAGTAAAACCCAATGGATTTTAGTCATTTACAGCCGATTAAAACCCATAAAACCAAACCCAATAAAACCCTGACCAGAACACCTTGGTTTTTACAGTTTTAAATTTTTTTTATGTATGTATGTACTCAGGCCACAATACCAACCTGGTAATTACATATGTTTTTAAACTAATTGTAAGTTGTCGCCCATCTCAACCATAACTACTGCATTTTGGCTCGCATTTCTTCGTTCTCTTTCAATTTGTTTGATGAAGGCTTCCACGACCCAAAACTCGTACAAGTTCTCGAGCAGGAATGGAATCAGGGTTTTCGGTTCGTAAAGAAACATTAGGTTTGGCTGTTTCAGAGCGAACATGACCAACCATGCAGTAATTTCCCAGATGAAGAGAGTGAGGTGATACAGCATCCAGAATACGCACAAATTGACGTTTTTCTAAATTGAATATTAATTCGATTAGAATTAAATTAAATGTATGAAATAATTACGTTGGATCAATATGCACCTGTTCAAAAAACATTTATTCATTCAAAATTCATTCAATTAAAAAATTAAAAAATTCTTTCATAATTCATTTATTCAAAATTTGATAATCAATATGTATTCATTTTTAATTCATTTTGTATCTAGCCATATTTGATGGATTTCTCAATATGCCCTATATGCAAATTACAGGTAAAAATGAGTTATTCACTCTTAATGAAAACAAAATTATTCATTCAAGCTTCATGAATGGATATGAAATGAATACATATTTATTCATTCAAAAATTTTGAAGAAACTATAACCCCCTTTATTCATTCCCTACAGAATAAATGAATGTGAACAAGTATGTTTGGATAATGCTATGTACACTTTATGAGTCCATACTCTTAAAAATAAAAATAATGTTTCCCTTTTGAAAAGTAAATGCAGTCTAAATTCCGTTTTAAGTAAACTATACTAAATCCAGAGTATTATTAACCTGATAACTAGCAAAGTTTACAGAATTCAGTGTGCATTTACGTTTCACAAGGGTCACCTTAGGGGCCGTTCATAAACTACGTAACGCTTGGAGGTGGGTGGGTGGGTGTGGGGTGGCGTCACGCATAGTCACGTAGGAGGGAGGGTGATATTAGACCATCGTCACGTCACACTCGCAAAAATTATAAAAATTGTCAAGAAACCACGCGATTTGATTTACGGCAAGTTTTTAGTTATATTACTCTCTAAAATAACTTTCTGATTTAAATCAGAAATGAAATTCATCGTCATTTAACTAGAGTCATCGTCGTAGACTCTACGACGATGACTCTAGTTAAATGACGATGAATTCTTCAATTTCACACTATTTAGATTGAAATTTCATAGAAAATTAAAAACATAACTTGACTAACAATGGAGGTCTCCCAACGTATGCTCACAGATCTGGACCAAACTAGCGTGAATCGATCACAAATATAATTAGTATGAAATTTGCAAATGGTACTATCTGCCAATGCTCAAGTTTAGCGGAGATATTTGCATCCAAAGCGGGAAAAATGCGCAGCAAATTTGGAAATTGAAAAATTTCCCTGCATTTGAGTGGGGTTTCTCCTCTTTTTATGCAAATATCTCCGCCAAACCTGCGCATTGGCAGATAGTTCCATTTGCAAATTTCATACTAATTATATTTGTGATCGATTCACGCTAGTTTGGTCCAGATCTGTGAGCATACGTTGGGAGACCTCCATTGTAAGTTAATTTGAATTCAATTTAAGTACTTGAACCAGTGGGAAATTTGAGATTTTCCGTGACATTATGAGGGAGGAGGGGGGGGTGGATTGAAGCGTCATGCAAGCGTCACAAGGGTGGAGGGTAAAAATATTCGATTTTAGAGTTACATAGTTTATGAACGGCCCCTTATTTCTTAGAGCGTGTAGTTATGTACCTGATTTCCAGCCCTCATTAGAACACCACCAGCAACGAAATGTAAAGCCAATTGGATGGTAAGGATGATGAAAAAGGAAACCAAAGGAAGAATTCCATACTTCTGGATGACATGCTTCAATATATTAATGTCATTAAAGTCAACGACCACAGGTTCTAAAAAACAGTTGTTCTTAATTAATTATGTGAGGCAAGAATTTCGCATATGTGGTCTTAACGACGAAAGTACCGTGGTAAATTACGCAGTCCTTTGTAACATTATAAAATCCGTAAATCTTGTACACTTACATACATACAAACTTTTACAAACATTTCAAAAAAATTATAGCTCATAGATTTTTACAGAAACGTACTCAGATCAAGGAAATCTCTTTAGTTTGTATAATTAATAATTATTTTACAAAACTTATCGATTTTCAAGGACTGCGTGAATCTCCTCAATATTTCGTATTTCATTAATTTATAGTTGCCAGCTAAGATCATGTCATATTTCTAGCAGATTTTTTACCCTTGGGTAAATAAAACGATGAGACCTCTATGCAGAAGTCTCGTCGTTTTATTTGCATGTTAAATTTATCAAAACTTGCCAAGTTAGGATTGCAAGATTTGCGAAAATTGCCGTAAATTTATTGGTGACAACGAATTTCACCCACCTTTCGAGACCAGTTCCATCGCGGGGTACTTATCATTCGGCTGATACGATATGATAACTATCGTCATCAATCCTGCACCCGACATTAGACACAGAATTCCGTTTAATCCCTAGAATATAAAGGTGTTGATTTAATTAAAGTCTTTACTTCACAATTTTGCCAAAGTTTGCGATGCGACAACCAATCAGAATCCTTTAGTTTTTTAAAAGGTATGACTACACTTATCATCGTCGTAAACTAATTTTCAAAAACAGATCGTCAAGCGACTCTTCCAGATTTTAACTGTATTTACCATGGAAATAGAGGCCAGGAATTTCACACCCCTCTGCAAATTCACGCCACAACAGGGTGAGACCATTTTGCCGCAATAATTAATTATTAGCGTGATTAAACAAAATATATTACTGTGTAAACGTATACATAAATCTCGACTAGGCGGATTGATTGAATAACTTGCGTAGGTACAAATGAATGACTGAATTGCGTACGTATGGCAAGATAATGAAATCCTATAGATGCTTGTCGGATACCGGTGCCATGACTATCGGAAGGAGTTAATTGAGTGTCGGTATTTGGGAGAGGGGTAGCAACCCGGGTAAGAAATTTGATCCGGGCACTCACCACTGCCACTATTCTTTTTAGCCATTGGTGTGAACATGTGAGGTGAAAGTGTGGTACTCGACTTATCCTTGGATACATATGTACGTATCTAATTGGCATATTCACGTCAAGCTTTAAACATCCCGTTGCTCGTGGGTTAACTGGAATTTGGATGTTTACATTCATTCATTTATTATAAACATAAGTTTTGTTTGCCTTGTTCATCTGTATTATGATAATATGAAAATGAAATATGAACAGGGATGGGCAATCCCAACACTTTCGATGGATTACGGATTACAGATTAATTAATTTCAAAATTATCATGGGATTACTGGATTGGGATTACGTCATTTCTGAAATAATGTGGATTACTTGTTGGATTACTGGGATAAATTGATGATGTGGATTACGGATTACGGATTACAGTAATCAGATTACGGATTATTATGTGGATTACAAAAATCTACATTTATGTATTAAGAGGTGAAGCGAAGCGAAATCCCTTAATGGAAATGTTTTGTCCGCCGGTCCGTAATTAACCACGATAACTTTATAACGATTTCGAATTTCATCATGCGGTTTTCGCCAATGGGTTTCTAATTTTTTGAAGTACGGATGAGTTTGAAAATGGGAATTGTAGGTCATAAGGTCATGGCCCCAAGGTGATGATGCCACGAATCAAAGGTGTCGAATTTTTTGTTTTGGCCGTTTTAGATATAGTTTTGGACAGGGATTACAAAAATTTTCATAGTTTTGACGTGGCATTACCGCGTGACCGTGTCGACGACGCCAACGTCGAAAATGTCGTATTTATGTTTTAATAGTTTTATACGTAGTTCTGGGCGGGGATTTTAAAAATAAAATCTAGACATAGTTTTGGCATGCCATGACCGTGTGACCGTCTCGCTCCACCCCTTTGCTACATTTCATTTGGAACAGTTCATTCTGAATAGAGTCACACTTATATTTCATGATGATGATTAGTGTAAAAAACGAACGTTGAATGATTCATCCGACAGTTGGTTTCTTAGAACAGACAAAATTATCTTATGGCAGAACTAACAAGACCTTGTGCAGGTGACGATGCTGACAGAGATGTGTTGAAGTAAATCAACCCCTACTCATTGTTCCAAAATTCTCTAAACTTTGCACTTTGCTGAAGAATCCAGACGGTAGTTTAAGCACTCAAGTTCAGCAAGTGACTCAAACTCTGGAGAAGTTGCAAGATGGAGCTGTCACCCCGTTTACAGGTGCAAAGTAATCCAACAAAGTAATCCGTAATCTGATTACATTTTCCAATCTCGAAAATTGGGGATTACGGATTACACATCATTTCCAGACCTAGTTAGGATTACGGACTACGGATTACTTTAAAATGTGAATTTTTCGTGGATTACTGGATTACGGATTACATTCAATGTAATCTGATTACTTAATCTGATTAAAGTAATCCTGGGATTGCCCATCCCTGAATATGAAATATGAAAATGGCAATGAAATGAACTTCTTTCAGATGGTGTATTAAGTATGCTACGATTTATTGTACAGTCGTCGTGTGACCGTAAATAATTGTACCTCAAAATGTCACGGCAGAAAATATGTAGACAGTATCGATGACCTACAAGGGTTATGTCCCTACGTAATATGTATTACCAGCGGTACATATTTGTTACCAGTGCATGGACCCGACCGAATTGTTCTCCAATATTTATTTACCAGATTTGGGCCGGTTAAGCGTGATAGAATAAAAAAAATGGCGTATATAAATTTTGCTATTTTAGTCAGCCACGGACATAATAATTCGTCACTATTTACGGTAATTATTACATATCTAAAGGACGCCAATATCTTATCCCATCTTATCTGGACACTTTAACAACTTTGAGTTTTGAAATCTATTTGATTTATTGAAAATTTCGAAAATAAATATGGATTAGACATTATTAAGTATGATGGAAAAGTGACCATTTTGGTGTTGAACATATTAAATCATGATATTTTAATTTCCATCCATTCTTCATTTATAACCTAACTGCGAACCACAACTCCCGTGACTTGAATTGGAGCACCGCTGGCTGCAAGGATTGGTTGTATTACTTCCAGAATTTCCGGCACCTGAAGAATTTATGATTTCATGAATTTATGAATATCATGAATTTATGAATAGTATGAATTTATGAAGAATTTATGTACTTTAGCAAGTACATAATTCGTGCCAATTTTAATTCAAGGTAAAAACTAACGTACCACATCACGACGACAGCTGCCGATTTTAACACTTTTAAAGCCCCGACTGTGTAAGATAAGATCTTCAATAGAAGCAGAGAAGTCATCCTGCGTGATGCCAGCGTACCGGAAGTTAGCACTTTTAACCCCTGAAATACATATACATATATAAATGTACGTAATTAACGTTCAGTTATTCACCAGAGTTTGCCTTAACAAACAAGCAATTTAGTAAATTGATTTTTAAAGGCATAATTTCTGGCACGAGAGCAACGAAAGAAATGTAATCATATGTAAAACATGCGAGAAATTAAATACCGATCGTAACAATTTACGTAATCTGTACCTCTCCAAGTCGTCATGTTTTCCAGGACTGTCATCAACACGGAGGACGCATTAACTCCATCAAATCGAACGCTAGCCTCTTCCAGATCCCAATTTCGGTACGGTGTCATTATCTGCTTTACTTCCTCCTTGTTTACCTCCAAATACTTGTTATTGATCACGTCTTTCCACGCCATACCAACCTCAAGCTTCTTAACGGAGGGAAATAGTCGGACGATCTGTAGTCCGATCCCATTTGCATTTTTCAGCCAGCGTCCATCCAGTTCTAACTTGAGAGATTTAACTCCACTATGTCGCTTCCACAGATTTAGATGGGGCGACGCAATCAACGCTGCTGACCGATTGCTGAAGCCGAGAAACAGATCTTTCAGTGCTGGGAGGTGGTTCTCGTTAAGAAAATCTTGACACATGTATATTGCTGTTGGATGGATGGAGAGAGACGTAAGTTTCGACATGACGGGAACGTCCAGACTCTGCCACTTCTGCAAATTATTGTACTTTTAAACCCAATAAAATATTGGTTTGTTGAAGACATTTTATGTAATTTTTACCCTTGGCATGACATCACCGGAAACGTGGGAGCTTAATCCCATCTCGATCAGGGTGTCTTTCACCTGCGCCAACATCCCGATGGCGGCTACCAAGTCGCGATTTGGAACCTTGTAAGGGGCTTGCCTTATCAAGCGAAAGTTGAGAACTTTGAGGTTTTTGCACCCCTCGAAATTCGGGAAGAAATTCGAGGAGACGTCTAAAGAGTTCAAATTAGGTGCCGAGTCCATCAAGGCTTGAAGGAGAGGCTGAAATCCGTGGACGTCAAAGTTTTCTCGTAGAATGTCCCAGCAAATACTGAACTCAATTGAGGTTAAGTTAGTTAGAATGGGGAGTTTTTTAGTATACGCGGAATACACCCCTCTCCCATGACTTATTGGCTGTTTCCAATAGACGGATACCGAAATTTTTTGAATATTCGTAGTGGTCTTGTTGAGCTTTCTTAACCCATTGACAAAAGCGGTCGCGGTTTCCCTCTGGCTGACGCGAAAGTAGATTTCGCGAGTAACTTGGAACACGTGCGCAAGGTCGGTAAAAACCTTGGTGATGACGTTTGCCATCTTTTCGATGGGGACGGAGGGGTAGAATCGATCCGAGATGGAGATGCGCCGCATAAAATTTTCAGCCACGTGGGTTTGGAGGTACAATTTTGTCCCGTCGTAGCGGAAAAGTTTGTTGACGTTGAGAGCCGTCCGCTTTCCTAACAAACCTGCGCCAACATCGCCCCATTCACGACACACGAGACGTGCCGTCCGCAAGTTAGTCGTATTAAGCTTGGCGAAGATGAGGTTGAGAATCTGGTGGAAATTCGTAATTTAATTTATGCAAAAAAATATATTTTACAAATTTGTACGACTTACCAACGGATTTCGAAGAGCTTTCGATATCACGATTGTTTTCTCGAGGGAAGAAGACGACCTCAACTTCATACTTGGGCCTAAAATTAGAAGTACAAAATACAAGTTTTTAATAAATTTGAGCGCTACAGGCTTAATTTGTTATTTTATTGAATACAAACGATTTAATTTAAATTCAGGACAATTTGAATTAACTCACCTTTAAATAATCGGAACTTACAGGTGGTTCGTTTATAATCGTTAATCACAGTAAATTTTAAACTTGTAACAATTTAAGATTTGAAAATATGAAATGTGAAAAATTAAGGAAAAATGTTTCCGAACAAAATCCTGCTGATAAATATCGCATGCCGTCTCATGTCTCATGCTGTCGCGGCTCCTCTTCCACCACCATCGCTCTTTGTTGTCTGCATCGTGTTCCATGAAAAATACATCACTTTGCATGAAAACCTTGTTCCCAGAGTTTTTAAATTCGGCCCCACACATCCAAAATCAAGGTCAAAGAACAAGTTCTTTATCATAACGGCCTCGGCTTTTTTGATCGGTTTACGTATGTACACATGATGACATGTAGTCCAAATGGACCTGTCAAAATAGTAAGTTATTAAGTAAATGAAACACCCCCAAAAAACCGGGTCGTTACATCTCAAAGAATAATAAATACAAACTTTTGGAAGCTATGCACATAAGGGTTTAAAGTATTATTACTGCATTTATTGAAAATTGAGAAAATAAATGTATCGATTACATATTGTTAACATGAAATTGAAAAGTGACCCTTCTGGCATTGAAACTCTAAAATTATACATACATTAAGTTTCATCCTTTCGCCTTTCAGAATTTCTAACACTCCACATCGAAAAAATCCAAATTCTAATCCTAGGGAAAATTTGAAAAGTAATCTAATCCAAGGCCAATTCATCGTAGCTAATATTTTACTACTTTAATCCCAAAATCCGAGGTAAAAACGCACTAATCTCCTCATTCCGGAGTGCGAACCACACCTCCCGTGACACGAATTGGAGCACCACTTCCGTCCAAGATTGGTCGCATTATTTCCTGAATTTCTTCCGGCACCTGAATTTATGATAAAAATTTAGTATGCACAGTATGTAATTCAATTGTGTTATTCAATCTAAACGCTGACGTACCACACCCTCATAATCGTCTATTTCCACACTTTTAAAACCTCTGCTGAGTAAGATGAGATCGTTAATGGAGGAAAAGAAGTCATCCTGCATGATGCGAGCGTCAAAGAAATGGACACTTTTAGCGCCTGAAATACATAATAAAAACTTTAAATAATTTATCATCAAAGTTAGTCGCAAAACAAAACCGCCCGCAAGAAATTACAGCAGTATTTTTTTTGCACGTGGGCGTTGCAAGAGTCTTTAGTAAGAAATCCACAATATAATCCGCACCTTTCCAATTCGCCATGTTTTCCAAGATCGCGACCAACACGGAGGCTGCCTTAACTCTGTAACCGCGAACGTTGGCCTCTTCCAGAGCCCAATTTTGATACGGTGCCATCATCTGGTTTACCTCCTGGATGGAATTGGTCCTATCGAGCCACAATATTAGCTCAAATTTCCTAACGGAAGGAAATAGTCGGACAATCTGTTCCCCGATTGTGTTCACATCCAGCGAAGAGCGTGAATCTAATGATAGACTGAGAAATTTCACGCCTCGATGACGCTTCCACAGATTCAGTTGGGATGCCACATTCAACTCTTTTCGCGCATTGTAAATGTTGAGAACTAGCTTCGTCAGTGCTGGGAGGTGGTCCTCGTTAAGAATATCCTGAATTAAGTACATTCCTTCTGGATGGATGGAAAGAGATGTAAGCTTCGACATCACTGGAACGTCCAGGTTCTGGCTCTGCTGCAAATTATCGTGCACAACATGTAATTAATACTTATAAAATATTGTTTAATGCCTTCATCTAATTTTTACCTGTGGCGTGCCAGTTTCACCACCGGAATATCGAAATTCCAACTCGGTAAGGGAATCCTTCACCTGCGCCAACATCCCGATCGCGGCGGCAAAGTCGAAATTTGCAACAGTGGAAGGAGCGGACCTGAAGATGCCAAAATTGACAACTTTGAGGTGTTTACACCCCTCCAAATTCGGGAAGAAGGTCGAGGAGACGCATAAAGATGTCAAATTAGGCGCAGATTCCATCAATATTTGAAGGAGGGACCTCAGAACGTCATTGTCGCAAACGTCGAAATCGATAGAGGTCAAGTTAGCCTGAATGGGGAGTTTTTTAGTGAACGGTGGATATATAGTCCTAGGCAAGTCCCAGACGGATACAGAAATTTCTTGGATATTCGTCGTGGATTTGTTGAGCTTCCTCAGCCCGTTGACAAAAGCGGTCACCAATTTCCATCGGTCGGCGTCAAAGCGGATTTCGCGAGTAAATTGGGACACGTGGGGGAGATTGGTGAAAATTTTGGTGATGACGCTGGCCTTCTTATTGCTCGGAATAGAGGGGTGGAATTCTTCCGTGATGGAGAGGTGACGCATCACATTTTGAGCCACGGGGGTCACTTGGTACAATTTTGACCCGTCGTAGCGGAAAAACTGGTTGACGTTGAGAGAGGTCCGCTTTCCTAACAGACTGCCACCGATCTCGGCCCAATAACGACACACGAGACGTGCCTTCTTCAAGTCAGACTCATCAAGTAGGGCGAGGATGAGATCAAGAATCTGGTAGAAATTCAGAATTTCATTTCAAAATCAAGATAAGGTATTTTATAAATTCTGCTGACTGACCAACGGGTTCTGTAAAGCTTTCGATATCACGCTGATACCGTCGCCGGCTGATTCGCCCTCAACTTGAGAATCTGTAATTAAAAAGATAAAACTGAAAATGAACTACCTTTTAATAATAAATATAACAGCGTTAAAATGAAAGTTAAAATGAATTTTTACAAATTGTAAATTACAATTAAGTATTTACCAAAATGTGCAGAAATCTTCGCCTCCCGTGAAGAAGCCGACCTCAGCTTCATACTGGATCAATCGATTTATATTTAGGTCTAGAATCTGACATACAAAAGTACTAATTATAAAATCTTTATAAAAACGCAAAACGTGAGTTGCAAGCAAACTCAATTTTTTAAATGCAAACTAGATAATTAAGTCAGGACAATTCATAATTGAAGTTACCTCGCTTTCAAATCAATCGGTACTTAAGCGAGAGTACGGTTCCTTTGTATTCTTAAATTAGTGCAAGTTTTGTAAATTTGTAAGAATTAAAATAAAGGAGGGCAAAAAAAAGTGAAAAATTTGCAAAAAAAAACTGCTGATTAAATATGTAAATGTCGTATGTGCTCCCGCCGGTTCACTTCGCACTTTGTAGTTTGCCTCGTGAAAAACGAGCGACGATTTTGCATGCAAAGTTATAAACTTTTCAAGCATATCGTCGTGATAATTTTGCTATAATTTTGAAAAAGTGATTTTGAAAAAGCGATGATTTTGCATAAAAATGTCTCACAAACCAATACTTGACAGATCCTTACTAAATTGGTCTTAAAATACGTATCGTCCATCCATACCTCATAGGTACATATGTACCTGTACATCAATTTATAAAACTTCTAAAAACGTTTTGTACATACCGTACATAAATTTGTATGCATTGTATGAATTTACAAAATTATAAGTTTGGAAAAAACGTGCGAAATACGTAACTGTTGCGCTTAAGGGAATCCTATTTACATAACTAAGTAGAACTTATGTATCCCATTGAATTAAAAAAGATTAGTGAATTTACTACTTGTGTAACGTTTCAAATACATATTTAGTACTGCAAAGATTCATAACTTTGTATTTACATACATACTTACTTACATACATATTTATTTACATAAATATGTATTTGCATACATAATTACTTATGTACATGCAAATGAAATGCTTCAAAAGTATTTCATTCTTCCAATTCCTGTTCGATATTTTGTTTGCACCTGCAAAAATTATTTGCCATCGGTCAACACACCTTTACTGGAACAAATTCATCAATCATAGAGTTCTTTCATAATAGTTCTCTTCTTTTGACAATGGATCCAGCCTCTAAAATCCAGAAGTGATCATGAACTTGTCCGGGAAACTATTACTCGATAAATAAAAGCTGTGTAAACAGTTTTACAAAAATTTACATCGTGACGCCTGGACAAAGCAAACATTCATATAAAAGTCCATTGTGGATAACAATTAACTGTATATTTTTTTCGTAAAGCATAAAAGATAACATCTCCTGATTTAATTGAATTCGACAGCTGTGTATGCACAGCTGTCGAAAAATCGAAAAATGTTTAGTTCAAAATTGCAATAAAAGCTCGAGAAATTCACCAGTTCTTTCCCAATTTCAATACAATTTCAATAAAATGTTTGCCCAATACATCTTCATCGCCGTTCTCCTTGTCGCCGGGGTAAGTTGAGACACTTGTTAAAATTACGGTTTAATTAGGGTGGAAATTAAAATTTCGAACATTTCCAGTTTCAAGCAACCCCCATGACACCAGAGGAGAAGCTTTTCTTTGCAAATATACCGCTCGGAGGAAACCAAAATTTTAACCTGGTTCCCTTATCGTGCCGACTTTGGGGCATCTTCTGTCCACCTGGTTACACCGGACCTGGCGTGGTCACAACGACCACAACGGCACGAACGAATTCAACAACGGGTTAATTAATTATAAAATGTTTCAATTATAAGATTGGCATTCAATCTGAATAAATTAATGTGAAAATATTTACGTGGTTTGCATCCATTGGAAAAAATGTTTAATGATAATTATGTAGCATCGCAAATATTTTGTTCCTGCAAATGGCTGAGGGAAATTTATTGCGAGCAATTTGCCCAGGTACGATAACTATCGAACGAGTCAGCCTCATCGCCTGTGATATGCAAATTATCCATTCACTAGTCTCTAAAGCCCGCATGCGGGCTCCAGAATAGAAAGATTTTAATTATTAAGTCAAGCGTTTGCTGAATGACATCCATAAGCAAAGGGAAACAGAACGTGGAATTGCGGCATGTTGTACCATTTTTCAAAAATGCTCATGCCTTAACTAAATTTGTCTAATTAACGAACTTATGAGAAACTTAACAATAACCCGGAACAAATCGTTACGTATGCGGTAAGGGGCCAATTGACGACTCAAAGGGGTGTGTCCAGGTCACCTTATGACTTTCGCGTGTGTCCCAAGTTACATGAGGACTATAGGTCATTTGCCTATCGGCAATTAGCCTTGAATGTGCTACCGCCGCTGGCCTTGCTGCCTCTATTAATGAGTAGTCTGGTCACCCCACATAGTACATAGGTCATTTGCCTACGTCACAGGTTTAGCAACATTTATATGCGCCTAGGTCTCACGTCATGTGACAAATCTATATAAAGATATCGAGGCCAGAAGTCACCTATAGGCAGAGACTGGTCAATCCCGGATTAAGGATTAGGGATTGAGATTAGGATTGGGGATTAATTAACACTCAATCTCAATCCTTAATCCCAAGTTTTAGAATTTTAATCCTTAATCCCTAACCCAATCCCACTATTTCAACTTCAATCCTAAAGTGGGATTAGAATGGGATTAAAATGGGATTAAATTTGCAATGACTGAAAACTCGAAAAGCCAAACTTCTCTTAAGATCGCTCCCTTTTCGAAAATTGATTGAATTTCGTTAATTTTTGTCATATATTTAAAAATACGGCTTAACATTTTGCAAAACCACTCGTAACGTGGTATCCTCAATGGACAATTTGCAACATTAGTGTGACCTCATAAAGAAATGTAATTGATATGCCCCAAATTCTGGTCAAAGCCTTGCGTTAAAAATAGTACCATGAGTAAAATTAGAATTTTTGCCCGTAAAACAATTTTTGTGCGAAAAATATTTAATTGCTAGTTAAAAATTGTATTCCTACGCGATCTAATTTTGCATGGAAAATTTTCAAAACATTACTTGTTCCGAAGTTCAGATTCGTTTAATTAATGTAAAAATCTGGCCTAATGAAATTTAATGCAAACAATTAATCCAGGACTAAATTAATTCCCAATTTAAGAAAATTACCTTAAATTTAATCCCGTGGTAATCGTAATCCCAGATTAAATTCAATCCCTAATCCCAATTCTTAATCCCAAAATTTTAAAAATTAATCCTCAATCCTCAATCTCAATCCCAAGATGTTAAAATGTAATCCTCAATCTCAATCCCAAGATTGTAAAATGTAATCCTCAATCTCAATCCTTAATCACGATGTCTTTAATCCGCCAGTCTCTGCCTATACATAGGTATGCTTAGGTCACAGGTCAGGCAATTCTCTAAATAATGTGTAAAGGGTATAGGTTCATAAGCCAACCATAGCGAGTGTCCAGGTTCTGGGTCAACTGTAGACCTTAATGGGCGTGCCTCCCAGGTTCCGGGTCTACTGCGGGAGTTTGCACGTGTTACGGTTCAACTGCCGACTATGAGGAGTGTGCACACGTTACGGGTCTACTGCCGACTAAAGGGTAGTTCCCAGGTCACGGATCAAATCTTAGGGGATATTCAAATTTTTCCATTAGTGGCGTATTCGGTTTTTCTGGTGCTAGTCAACGTTTTGGAAACGTTTGGATACTTTCGGTGAAAATCGCCCTCTAGCGGATAAAATACAACCTAGTACCCAAAAATGTGGATAGGTGGCGCTGGGTGGTAATTTTGAGAACTATTGGGGGTAAGGGATACAGCCATCGAGTGAAGCTCTTGGTTCAATAGGTAACACACACACACACACACAACTCTGCACAATTCTTGTTATGACTAGTCTTTTAAGCCCGCAATGCGGGCTCTAAGCAAAACAATTTTATTTAGTTTAGCGATACAAATTCCTGCTGAATAATTGTTACACATTTATCTTCACACAGAGCAAAGAAGCGTTGACTTGATTGTCACGTTTTATAGCACGATCTTTAATAATAGAGTTCACAACTCTACTGGTGTGACAACGAAAAACGTGCTGTCAGGACTCTAAACGGTGTGACCACGAAAAACGTTCAGTCACAACTCTAAACGGTCTGACCACGAAAAACGTTCAGTCACGACTCTAAACGGTGTGACCACGAAAAACGTTCAGTCACAACTCTAAACGGTCTGACCACGAAAAATGTTCAGTCATGACTCTAAAGGGTGTGACCACGAAAAACGTTCAGCAACAACTATAAAAGGGTGTGACCACGAAAAACGTTCAGTCAAAACTCTAAAGGGTGTGACCACGAAAAACGTTAGGTCACAACTCTATGGGTGTGACCACCAAATTTGTTCAGTTACTACTCCGAAGTGTGTGACAACAAAAAACGTTCAGTCACGACTCTAAAGGGTGTGACCAAGAAAAACGTTCTGTCGCGACTCTAAAGGGGGTGACCACGAATAACGTTAGGTCACGACTCTAAAGAGGTTGACCACGAAAAACGTTCAGTCACAACTCTAAACGGTCTGACCACGAAAAACGTTCAGTCACGACTCTAAACGGTGTGACCACGAAAAACGTTCAGTCACAACTCTAAACGGTCTGACCACGAAAAACTTTCAGTCACAACTCTAAACGGTCTGACCACGAAAAACGTTCAGTCATGACTCTAAAGGGTGTGACCACGAAAAACGTTCAGCAACAACTCTAAAGGGTGTGACCACGAAAAATGTTCAGTCGCGACTCTAAAGGGGGTGACCACGAAAAACGTTAGGTCACAACTCTATGGGTGTGACCACCAAATTTGTTCAGTTACTACTCCGAAGTGTGTGACAACAAAAAACGTTCAGTCACGACTCTAAAGGGTGTGACCACGAAAAACGTTCTGTCGCGACTCTAAAGGGGGTGACCACGAATAACGTTAGGTCACGACTCTAAAGAGGTTGACCACGAAAAACGTTCAGCCACGATTCTAAACGGTGTGACCACGAAAAACGTTCAGTCGCAACTCTAAAGGGTGTGACCACGAAAAACGTTTTGTCGCGACTCTATAGGGGGTGACCACGAAAAACGTTAGGTCACAACTCTATGGGTGTGACCACCAAATTTGTTCAGTTACTACTCCGAAGTGTGTGACAACAAAAAACATTCAGTCACGACTCTAAAGGGTGTGACCACGAAAAACGTTCAGTCACAACTCTAAACGGTCTGACCACGAAAAACGTTCAGTCACGACTCTAAATGGTGTGACCACGAAAAACGTTCAGTCACAACTCTAAAGGGTGTGACCACAAAAAACGTTCTGTCGCGACTCTAAAGGGTGTGACCACGAAAAACGTTAAGTCACGACTCTAAAGGGTGTGACCACGGAAAAACGTTCAGTCACAACTCTACAGGGCGTGTCTAGATCAAGAGGCGTAGTCAATTCCAAGGAGCGTTCAATTGTTCTAACGTTTTAAAAACGTTTAAGAACTTGAAGCGATAGCCCGCCCTCTAGCGCTGAAAAACAACCCACATCCTGTAGGTGGCGCCGGGAGGTAAATTAAAGTTGTAAGTGTCAACCATTGCGTGGGTTCCCAGTGGTCACAGGTCATATGTAAACTCAGGGGGTTGTGCGCAGGTCACAGGTTAAGTGTAAACTCGGGGGAGTGTGCCGAGGTCACAGGTCATATGTCAAGTCTAGAGGGTGTGCCTAGGTCACAGATTAAATATCAAGTCTAGTGGGTGAGCCCAGGTCACAGGTCAAATTCAAAGTCTAGTGGGTGTGCCCAGGTAACAGGTCAAATTCAAAGTCTAGTGGGTGTGCCCAGGTAACAGGTCAAATCCAAAGTCTAGTAGGTGTGCCAAGGTCATAGGTCAAATGTCAAGTTACGTGGGGGTATCGAGGTCACAGGTCAAATGTCACGTTACGTGGGTGTGCCTAGGTCCCAGGTCAAATGTCAACTCTGGAGGGCGTGCCCGTTCATGTGATCAAGTCGGATCTAAATGCGTGTAGCGTTAGTCAACGATTTGGAAACGTTTGACACTTTAGCGAAAAACGCCCTCTAGAAACGAAAAATGTAACATAGTGACCCAACTGCCGCTTGGTGACATTAGCTTGGACAATGTGAGGCACGTGTGTAATCAAGCGCCAAGTTCAACTGGTAACACACACCACTGCACAATTCTTGGTTCTGATTAGCCAGGCGATGTTCATAAATATATGATTGGTAAAATGTGCGAGTGAGTATAATAAGGAGTGAGGAATGGGATGAGACTCACTTTATACTGTAGGATTCAGATTTAAGGGCCAATGGTTTGACCATTGGTTCATAAATATATGACCCTACCAAAGTGATATTGATAAGTATTTGATACAGTTCGGTTTTAAAGTGTTGTCACATTCGTAGCAAATGTTTATGGACCGGTATAATTTTAGATAATACCGAGTGGTAGCAACTTTAATACCGAGAAAGTTGAGTACATTTATCAGATTCCTAACAATGCATCATTTTAAGTTAAAATTTTTAACCACCCTCGCAATATCGCAACAAAATATCGATGACGTTGTGGTAATTGGTTTGCAAATATTTGTTTGTTGCTGATGTGTGGCAAAAACAGACGCCAAATCGATCCCCACATCGTACCCAAGCACTACATAAATAGAAGACCATCTGTCACAGATGGTCTGTGCTGAATAATTAACTGCCATGTCACTCAGGGGCAGGGGAGGCGTCCAATCGGTCCAAGTTGTGATTCATCGAAATGAAAAGTTTGCAAAATAATTGCTTTAAACGTCAATATTAACAACTTACATGTCGCAATCA